AGAGGGCAAGGTCGTCGAAATCACTGCAGAGCCTGGGCTGAAGTCATTGAGAATTCATCGGTTTCTCAAAAGACTAGTGTTCCGGTCCCCTAAAATGGTTGGTTTGCTATGGGGTTCCCTTCAATCACCAACCGACTGGGGGTCCACCATTTTGAGAAACACTCGTAGCACAGCTGTCAACATACCGATGATTGAGTCTGCTTGCAGTCATTTGCCGTTCAAATGAAGCCTGCTTGATGACCCACGGGCAATTCGAGAACTGGGAGAACTCCAGCTTGCCCACTAAGGAGACGTACAATTTCATCTGATTCGAAACTCAGTTTCACCTTCTGATTTCACTTGCCCATCAGCAAGAAAATGTGTCTTCGCGCACTTTGTTGCCGCAGCTATCACAAGGACTTGTTGCCCCAAGATCCCTGGCGGGTTTGTTTGAGGCTCTGGCAGCAGCAATTTGTGTCTCCCAAATGAATGTTCCAGTCAGAAATCATCACCTGCGATGCCAAGTGTGCTTCACCTTTTCCCAGATAGCTGAAAGCATAGGGGTTCTAACTTCTAATAAAGAAGGGACAATGATTTGCGAGATTGACGGCTGGGTGCTGTGCTGGTGCAGGTGCTGTTTGGGGTGGTGATGGCGCGGGCGCGTGCTTTTTTTGCAGCCGACGGCAGGGTGCTAGGGAGGTGCAGTTTGGGTGCTGGTGTTGGTGCTGTTTTTGGGGTGCTGTTTGGGGCATGTTTGCGAGATTGACGGCCGGGCGCTGGGGGGCAGGCGCGTGTTGCGTGCTGTTCCAGATGCTGGCGCGGGCGCGCTTTTGTGGTTTTGGGATGCTCCTTTGGGTGTTGGTTGAGGTGCCTTGGGCAGTTATATTAGAGGCGCTGGCGTGCATTTGTTGACACATGTTTCGCTATTTGGGGTCTATGCTGGTGTAATTTCCTTTGCAGTTTGCAGTTTGCGCAGATTCGCGGTTTTGACGCATTACGGTTGGAGAAAGTTGACCGATCACGATCTTGCAGCCTGAATGTATCTTGGACATGAGAGTGTCGTGGATGCTTCTTTTTGGCCATCAATGAATGCCGTCCGCTGCAGGGTGAGTTTGCGTTGAACATTTCCTAGAACGCAGGGGGGGAAAACAACTCATTGTCTCTGCTCGTGCCGCAGATCCGATAAGCACCAGCAGTTTGTCGGTTGTTGGAGCCTTCCGCTGGAGGCCGCCTTCCGGCGGCCGCAGAAGGCAGAAGGTGCTGGTGGCTCTGGCTCGATTTGTGGAGGGGGCGACCACAAGAACTGAAGCATTGCATTCCCTCGGACTTCTTGAACGGCGTCCGCGCATCTCTAAATGTGAGAAGCCGTTTTCGTGCGATTCCCAAATGCCGGACCCACGGATCGCACGGATCCCATGTCATGTGCATCAGTCTCATCCGTCCTCTTCTTGCGACTTTTCGACAGTATCTTCGATTTGTGGGGTCCCTTTGTTGAGAAGTGAATTGCCTCCTGGCGAAGCTCCACGTGGTGCCTTGCAACAGCGGGTCACCGGCGATCTCATTGACACGGAGTCCCCCAACATGGATGGTTTACCATAACACATGGCCAAATGTGTGGTCCTTTCAGCAATCGTCGTCGCAGTTTTTGCTTTTGCTTTTTCAGATGTGCAACCTGCCAGGAAAGAGTGTGCAAAACGAACGCCGGTGCTCTACCTGCGGAGGCACGGCCGGCAGAGTGTTCCGCTTGGAGTGCATTGGATGCCGTGTTTAGAAGGGAGAAGAGGACAAGCCACGTCTTTTGACCAATCAGTACAGGAGCATGTGGTCAGGTTTTGGCCGATGTATTTGGATGTTTTTTTTGCCCGCTTGTGAGCATGTACGCTACAGCTATCCCACGTTTTAGCACTGGTGGGGGGGGGGTGAAGTTTCGTTTCTCAGACATCCACACGTCACCTGTCACCGGTGTGGTTTGGCCAAGGTTTAATGCCAGCGTCAGCTTGCTGAAGGAGGCCAGGAAGAATGATTGGGCTTGCTGTCACGCCCGTACTGTAAGTATGGTCCATGGAACCTCGCGTTCTGAAAAGGCCACTCTCAAGTTGACATTCAAATTGCCGTCAATCTATCACCCGACCGTCCTTGGCCAGATTACATGGCAAGTGCTTTTGACCGTGCTAAACAAATGGTCTTGCTGGACTCAATCAGGTTCCCAGCAACGGCTTAGGTGTGAAGTAGATGAACAACACCCCCTTTGCAGATGATTCTTTTTGGGAACAATGCCAGCGAAAGTCATGATGGAACCCATGGCAAATCTGAGTAGTTGTGTTTGCTGCCAGGTTTTGTGGACCACATTTCATGCTGCCGTCCAACATCTTAAGCCTCCGGGTTCGAGGGAGTGCTTGGATCAACGGAACTGTCCTGCTTTCTTGGCTCGAAGTTGGTGCCTGAAAGCAGGCAGACGTCCGTGCGAAGTCCACTTTCCATGTTTGCTTTCGAATGGTGCGGGGGACAGCTGCCATGCTGTGGCAGCTCATCGTCGTTCTCTGTGCCTCGCTGAAATAGGGGAGTCTTGTGAGAAAGTTGACATGCACATTGGAGCATGCGGGGTGACGTGGGGAGCATGTGGATGCGTCAAGTTGGGTCACACGATGGTTCGCTGCTGGTGGATGTTCCTTTCCATGTTTCGACCGTCTCAGGCAGCGATATGATCCCAGCAGCTAGACCTGCCCACCATGACGTTCTGGATGATGACCTGACCCTTCACCGACACTTAGACTCCATGGCTGTGACGGGTCGACTGGTTGTCATGCGTCAACAGGGATCTTTTTGGATGCAGATGTCAATCTTTTCAGTCGCAAGCGGAGGTCATACTTGCGTGCTTGAAGCATGTACGACGGACCGTTTGTGGGCGTGCTTCAAAACAGGTCTTGGACTCAACACGTTTCTTGCGATGACTCGATAGGTGCCAAGCCGATCTCATCCCCCCCCCCCGGTTGAGGAAAGGTAACAGTAGCACGGAGTGCGCACATCAGCACTAGTCGGTTTCGAATCTCACAGACAGGAAGAAGCTAAGCGGTAGTTGGTTTTGCCAGGGTTTGTGCCAAATCTGCTTGAATGTTGACAGGTGAACCCAAGGAGTGCGGACCCATGTTGGTTGTACTCAAACGGAGCATCTGGGGAATTGTGGGGAGATGTGGAGAGCATGTGGACGCATGTGGGGTCACACGATTGGACCAATAATGATGAGCTGCTGGTGGATGTTCCTTTCCATGTCTCGACCGTCTCTGGAGCTGAGGCAGTGATATGATCCTAGCGGGTAGACATGCCCACCATGATGTTCTGGATGATGACCTGACCCTTCACCGACACTTAGACTCCGGGTCTGGGTGGACGCAAGGGGTCGAATGGTTGTCATGAGCCGCCCCGACAGAGATCTTTTTGGATCTTGGCGATGTCAAGGCTTTCAGAGGTTGGCAATGGACAGATACGCGGTGCTTGAAGCTTCATGTCATTCAACCCAATCTTACCAACGCAAGACAATAGAGTAGCTCCATACTCGAGTGGTTGAAGCATGTACGACGCCTGTCGTCTGTTCACCAGTTGATCTCCCAATGCCCACATGGGCATTGAACAAGTAGCGTCTGTGACCCGCTAGGTGGCAGTTTCCTAAGACATGCTTTCACTGGTGGTCTCAAACCTTTGCAAGGGGGTCTTATGGTTCTACTGGACGCCAGACAGGTGCCAGACTGGTGTCCAGATTCAGCTGTTTCGCATTTGGGCGGTTCAATAATGTCCATCGTCACTCATAGTGCTGAGACTTGCAAGAGGGTAATCCATATGACAGAAGTAGCTGGGATGATATCTGGGCCGTGCAACCCACGTCACACCTGCTTGGCCCAGCTGAGGCGGTGGCAAGTGCCCACAGGAGGTGGCGTTGCGGGCAGTTCTGACACAGCTCGGGCTGAAGGATGTGGAGGACGTGTACGAGATGGATGGGATTGGATGGATGCTTGTCAGAGAGAGCAATCCATTCAGATGGCGAGAATCATGCACCACTCAGATGTCTCATGCGAACACACTTAAAGCATTTCGAACTGCTGGTTTCTGTTTACTCACAGTACGACGCATACGTATTACAAAGAGACTTCATGATGGCAATGGACAGAATCTATGGACACATTCTGAGGAGAATCTCACAACCCTCATCGCACGAAGAAGCAAGATGCATGTCTGAATTCACTTGCATGTTGGTCTAGTGTCAATATCCATCCACCTCATACAACCCCAACACCGCACTGACGGCGCACGCGAGAGCACCTGCGCCGTCTCCGAATTAGCGTCCGAGGCACGGCTGCGACGTCCAGGAGATCGAGCTCGATGGCCGCGAGGAGGTGCAGGGCACCTTGGACGAGCGAATCGCGGAGCTGCCGAAGCTCTCCTGGCTCGACCTTAGCGACACAAGAGTCATAGGGGACGTGAAAGCCTTGGAGAACAACAGAAAGCTTGACAGACTCTTGCTCCAACGCACAGATGTGACCGGCGACCTCAGAAGCCTCTCCCAAGCCAGGTTGACATATCTCGACTTGGGGAACACCCAGGTGACAGGTGACCTGAGCAATCTCTCTCAAGCCACGTGGTTGACAGATCTCTACTTGCAGAACACCCAGGTGACAGGTGACCTGAGCAATCTCTCTCAAGCCACGTGCTTGACAGATCTCTACCTGCAGAACACCCGGGTGACCGGTGACCTGAGCGACCTCTCTCAAGCCACGGAGCTCAGATTTCTCAACCTGCAGAACACCCGGGTGACCGGCAACATCTCAATGCTGCGCAACTGGTCGCACCTTCAGACCGCCGACTTGTCGCGGACTAACGTGTCAGGGCGCCTTGACGGGTCGTGGCGTGGCCATTGCCAGCGGCTCGAGGCCTTGAACCTGGCGGAGACCAAGGTGGCCCTCGATCCAAGTTGTGGCAAGGGCTGGTTGAGCTGTCCAAGATTTCAACCCCACTGCTTTCTGCCAAAGTTGGCCACCTTGGACCTGAGCGCCTGCCCGCTCAACAGTGCAGCAGCTGACTTTTTGGAGGCCCTGCGCACTTCGCCGTCGCTGGCCACGCTGAAAGCTGCCAACGCCGGACTCAGCGGCGGGATCAGCACCAAGGACGTTCAGCAAGTGCAGGCTGTGGCCGTTGACTTGTCCTCCAACAAGCTTTCGCACGTTGAAGCGCTTCCGCCCCGCTGTCGAAGCTTTACAGCAGCAAGCAATGGTGGCACCTTGACGTTTGGGAAGGTAGAGCTTGCCAAAGCCATCAGTGCCGGAACTTTCGTCGACCTCTGGAATGTGACCTTTGAAGATGCAACTGAAGCTTGCTACCTACTATACCAAAGTTGTTCCTTTTTCTGATTCCAGTGAGGCTCACCTGTGTACCTTTCTTGTTTACTTCATTTTGTGAAAAGCAGAAGGGTCGGATCGAAACCCGTTTGCTTTGAGCCACCTTCGAGGATCTCAGTGCCGTCACAAACAACTGTCCCTTTGAATGACTGTCGCCGAGGAAAGTGCGTATCTTTTGGACCAACATATTCTAGAACCTACCGAGCATCGTGCAGTTTTCAACGAAGATCGCGGCTTTGCTTGCTTCTCGGATTGGAAGGTCATTTGTTTGCAGGCAGAGCTCAATCACATAGAGCGATGTACAGAACGCCGGAGAACTTCAACGGAGTGCGAAACCAAATTCTCTTCCCCTGAGACAGCCAATTGCGGTGTATGTTCGCTTCAGATAAGTTGCTTCTTGAGGGAATGCAAGGTCTTGGGAAGTGCCTTTTGACAGGTAGCTGTTGCACAAAAAGGGGCAGGAAATAATCAATGGATGGTATCTCTGAGATGTCCGGAGCGCATTTGATCAGAAGTCAGTACTTGTCCAGAGTTCCCCAAGAATTGTCGAGGGGCGTTTTGCCAATCTTGTTGGGTTCAAGCAGCTTTCTCCACCTTCTTCATCGTCGGGCTTCCCAAAGACTCCAAGAGCCAAGGCTACGACGTGCTGCCGAAATCTTTTCAGATTTCGCCGGAGCTGTTCGCGCCGGAGAGACTATGCAGCTGCCTTTCGGGTTGGAGGCTCGAGGAAACGCAGTATTCGCCATTTTCCCGGGGTTTGGAGTGGTTTGCAGTTGTATCCGGATCTATCATTGCAGTACTCACTGCAATATGGATGCATGCACGCTGAGCCTTGAAATACAAACCGACACTGCCATTGCTTGTCGCGTCTGAGGAACGGCTCAGGGGCCACGTGCCAGCTGTGTCCGAAGAACACCTACAAGGATTCCTTCGAGGGCACCTGCCAGCACTGCCCGGAAGGCAGCCAAGCTGCTCCAGGAGCCAAGTCACTCACTCAGTGCCGGTGCAAGATAGGTGAGGTCTTCAACGAAAGTGGTGTTGCGTGCCTTGGACGGATTTGAGCGGAGAGCTCAGAATGAATTGAGTCGCTGGAGGATTTATGTTCAGTTTGCAAAGCTTGGGAGTGCTCACACTTCAAGTTGTCGCACTTTGTATGTTGGCGCTAGCCATGTGACGCACGCGTGCTTAATCGTGTTTGGGCAGTGAGGCGCTGCGGATGTCCAAAGGATGAAGCGCAACAGGAGGATTTGTGCGTGAAGTGCCACGAGCTCAACTGGAACTGCTCAGAGCCAGGCTTGGAGTGTCGTGCCCAAGGTTCAACTGTTCACTCGGCTTTCAACAGGTTCAAGACTCGCGTTTGTACGACCACCGTTGGACGACGTTCAGCGGGTTTGGAGGGTTCAGTGCATGGATTCCGCTAAACTGGTATAGGCTGAAAAGGATCACAACCGTTCTGTAACATTGATAAGACCCGCCCATCGCCAGGCTCAGAAGTTCTCTCGGCAAGGCCACTCCCTGGCTTCGCGCGGCTTGGGAACCAGACCAAGGCATTCAAGTGCTTCCCGCCATATGAACGTTGCGCCAACAATGAGTCCGCGGAAGAGTCGGGGTGCTTCATCGGTTACACGGGCATCCTGTGTGGACAGTGCCGCCCTGGATTCTACTCAAGCAGGGATGCTTGCGAACGCTGCACAACTGCCTTGATCCTTCCCAATGTTTACTGTGCTTGGTATGCTGCGGGCTGCGCCATGATGTTGGCCTTGGTGGGAGGGCTGCTGTGGCTGCGGAACCAGGGTCAGGAGCAAGAGGAAAATCCTGACACAAGCCAGCGACAGAGGGGCTTTAATGTCTTGAAGCATCAACTCAAAGTGCAGGCTCCGATTCTTCTCCAACTATGCCGCTCGGCTCATTGAATAATGCTGAAGCTCGGTACATGATTGTTATACATTGATCATTTTTTCTTGCAATCGATGTATTGTTGAAGCAGAGACTACTGAATTGCTAAGATCCTTTACAAACTAGCCCAAACGCAGCAAACAGTATCATGCAGCCAGTGTGAACAGGTGTTGCCAGCATTGAAATCACCGAGGTCAGCTTTGGTCTGTCGTGGCTACGCTGTCTTCAAGCCAGGAAGAAGAAGGAAGCGACAACATCAAGGACAGGCAGTTGGCAGAAGGCGGTGTAAGTTTCTTGTGAGGTGGAAGTACGTTACATGACTGCTTGGTCATCCAGTAGCTGATATATGTCAATGTATTTAGATTGATGCAAAGATCTACCCTGAACCCTGAGGAGCCTTCCGCGACTGCTTTGTGGGAGCTGCCGTACATTCAAGCACTTCAGCTGTCCCTTTCAAACCTGAAAGGTGTCTTTAACCTGCAGTGCCACTACGATGCTCGGCTCATCCAGTCAATCTTTCACGGACTTGTGGGTGCAAAACGTGTTGCCTTGCAAGTTCCTGATGCGTAGCCAAAGCTGATTGCTTTGCGGCCTGCAAGCATGGTTGTTGCTTCCAGCCAGCACGGCCCTAATTGCCGTACTTGGTTTCAAGCTTGGTTGCAACAAGGATGGTCCCACAGTGGGCTGGGCGTCTGCGCTCCTGGCTCCAGCATTTCCTATCGCTGTTCTGGTGTTGTCCTTGGGGTTGGAGTTCGCACGTCGAGGACTTGGCATTTCGGTGGCGTTGCAGGCTCGACGCATGCCGCCGCCAAGAATTTGGCCGTCGGTTCGTCAACCCAAAGTTGCGGACGAGTAGACCAGCTGGTCCAAGCAAGACAAACAAAGGTGTTGTCGAGTTGCAGTGGAGCAATGTGGCAATGCACTGGACCATAGTGACATAGTGATGTTGTAAGGACCGTAGAAACCACGTTTGTAGCCCCGTGGCTCCTTTGCTTTATGCCACAGGTGGTGCCAAGGCGATCCTGTGTGGTGCTAATCCACACGTCATCAAATCTCGGGAGGCGCAAAGAACTCCGACTAAGTGCATGATTTGAAGCTTCTCAACTCTCACGACCTTGGGCCAGTCCACGCCCCGTCTAAATCATACCTGGGTGAGTTGGACATGTGAGAACGTTGTCGGACTGAGTGTATTCAGTTTGGCATGCAGACCTCAAGTGACCTGCCGTGTCTTGAAGTGCACACTCTTTCCGGTGACTCGCCCGAAAGTTCAGACACCTGCAGGTCATCGCCTTTCTCTACATTGGAGGAGCGTCCAGCTCATCAAACCTTCTGAGTTGCCAGGGGACGGATGGACTGGGTGAATCTTGGCTTCACTTCAGGATGATCTAAGTTTGTAAATAAGCAACCTTAGCAGCAACATGGGCGAATCTTCTGCCTTTCAAGCAACAGAGTGGATAGAGTTGTTGGCATTTGAAGGACACAAATGAAAGCGCTTTTGAGATGTTTTGTTCTTTCCTCAGAAATCAAGCTTGCATGAACACCAATGAGAAATGTAGGTTGACAGTGGACTGGTTTGCGTGGTTTTGGCTTTGGGGGAGATACCTCCTATCTGGTTTACAGAGGGGGGGGGGCGATGTGAGGAAGGCAAAAACCGCCCACCTTCTCGAGTCACAACCCCATCCTGGCACCAGAAGAAAGCAAAGATGCGGTGTTGGATCGTTATTGTGCCTTTCGTGGCTGACTTGGAGACTTAAATGAACAAGCTGCGCTTGCATGCGGTGTGTGAAGCATTCCTCAACTGCAACTTGTGCGCCCAGGAACAGTTGCCCAAGAACTTTGCCTTCCGAAGTGCAATTCCTGAAATTCTTTGCGATAAAGAGTCATCCTTCAAAGCCAAAGTTGACATAGTCGCCTACATCACTGCCTTTGGCTACGCCGTGGTGGTCCCATGTTGCCTCCTGTACCTCTATGCACGCCAGCACCTCCTCTTGCGCCGCAGCAGGATGACCACCACATTTGCAACTCACCATCATGATCTCAAAGTGACATTGAGGCCAGTTCTGAAGTCAGGAAAGCCGACCCCAGAGAAGCAGGAGCAGTGGACGCGTCACACGGCGGCATCGACCGCTGCTTACATCTCCTTGACTTTTCGAGGGCCGCTCTCTTTGAAGATGGAAGAAGGGGAGATGGTGGTGCAGATGCTCGAGGGTTGCAGTTTGACGCACGGAGAAGTGGAGATGAATATTTCGGACGTGGGCACCTTCCTTGACGAGGATGAGGTTGAACAGGCGCGGATACTGAGATGCAGGGCCATCAGTGAGATGCTGATGGAAAGGAGCACCCTTCAAGAAGTGGCCCCATCAGAGAGGATCTTGCTGGGTGCCCAGGACTTGCTGGCAAAGTATGCCTTTGGCAGCTCAGAAGAAACTTGGGACATTGTGAGATGGCTACAAGAGAGATGGATTTGCTTTAATCTGAACCAGTCTGATCACGCTTTTGGCTGAGACCCGGGAACAGAACGAAGGACTCATCATGTGTGATAAGAGTCACATGTGTGTGGGATGACATGGAGAGTTTCATAGGACTCCCTAGGGCATGGTGATGTTTAAAGCTTGGAACTCTACGGATCAGACGGGAGCGGGTTAGGTAGAAACGTCTTCCTGGAGATCGTGCAGAAGTTGGTGGCCGTGGCCCTGGTCTCCACCGTCTCCAGCCCCGATGGCTTGCAGCAGGCCCTCGGCATCACCCTCACCACGGCGGCCATGGTGGCGTTGGTGCAGCCGTATTTGAAGCCGCAGGCAGGATGGTCAGACCATGTGTGCGGAGTTTGATGCTCCATGTTAGCCACTTGTTCTGTTATAGGGGGTTTCGTATTGATGGCATCTTTGAAGTGACCAAATTATGCAATCATCGCCAAAGTTTCCCGCTAAATCTTGGAACCTTTTTGCTAACGCAAAGATGGCGCACGAGCCGCACCCCTTCAAAACTTGGCTTCCGGGTGAGAGCAATGTGCCATGTTAGTGTGCTATGTTGTTCTGTATCACGGGTTCGCAGCTGGGCTTGATAGGGCCGGTGATTCTTGGGTCGCACAGGAGCTCGACATATTGGTGGAAAATCACCTCCCCCTAACGAATTGAAATGGGTGGTGGTGGTGAGCTACTTGCAATGCAATTACTGTTGCTTTCTTTCTTTGGAGGGAGGGGGGGGTGCCGGCTCGAAATTTTTCAGCAATAAGGGTACCCACCCCCTGTGCTGCAATTTTTGGTCCTGTTGCAATTCCGGATATGAAGCGAAGAAGGAAGAAAGGAGATAGCTGAACTGCGTGGTTCTTCACTTGTGCAGTTTGTAGGGCAGTTTTGCACAGGGTTCTGCGAGGCAGTCGCGGTGGCGTTTCTCGGGTTCGGCCCCGCATCGGGGTTCCACCAGCGGACCCTGGGACCCTCGAAGCTGTTGTGGGTTCCTTGGTTACGGGGCCACACGTCTCCAAAGATGCTGGGGCTTTCGGAGCTGTGGGTCGCTTGGTTGCGGGGTACGCAACAGCACTGGCACCTCCGGAGCTGTGGGTTGCTTGCCCCCATGTGACATCAACAAAGACCTGGGACCCTCGGAGCTGTGGGCTTCTTGGTTGCGGGGCCGCACGCGACATCGACAAAGATGCTGGGTCCGGCTCCCCAAAAATACCCCGCACCCCCCACTCCGATCTCCGGTTTCCTGTCTTCGAACATGGTTGTCCTTGTCCTGTGTCCCTCGCAGCTGTGGGTTCCACACGCGACATCGACACAGGCCCTGGGATTCTTGGAGGTTACGGGGCCACACGCGACATTGCCAAAGATCCGGGGAACTTCGGAGCTGTGGGTCTGTTTGTTACAGGACCCCACGGGATATGGACAAAGACCCTGAGACCCTCGGAGCTGGGCCACGCGCAACATCGACAGATGACCCTGGGACGATCTGGTTCCAGACCCTGGCCCACTTGACAAAGACTCTGAAGGTTACGGGGTCACACGCGACATCGACAAAGACCCTGGCCCTTGGAGCTGTGGGTTACGGGGCCACACGCAAAAAGACCCTGGGAGCCTGGGAGCTGTGGGTTCCTTGGTTACGGGGCGTGACGAAGATCCTGCGAACCCTTGGAGCTGTAAGTGCCTTGGTTACTGGGCCACACGCGACATCGATAAATTCCCACGTTGAAGCCGCAAAAGGACTCGACTGCGGCAGGACACGGACACAGGACAAGGACAGCAACAACCGTGTCGAAGACAGGAAACCGGAGATCGGAGTGGGGGGGGGTGCGGGGTATTTTTGGGGAGCCGGAATTTGCAACGAGAAATTGAACTGCAACGCACTGGTTCGAATACTTCAGAGTTCACGCCCGAAACCTTGCAAAGTCGGCTGGATGTGCAATCTTATCCACTAGAAACTCAGATGCCATCAATACGAACCCCCCTACAGTTTTACTTTGAGGAGAACAGGAAGTGTCCCTGAAATTGCACGTGGTTGACTGGGCGGGGCTGTCGTTGACGCTCGCATGCCGTCTGAAGCAGGGGTGTTGCTCTGGTCAACTCAACTGATATCCGGGCATTATAGTATGGGTAATCAATCGTCCATTCCACTTCTTTTATTTCCCAACTCGCACTTATCGCAAAATAAGCTCACCCCCCCCCCCCCAAAACAAGAGCGGGCTTTTGTAGATTTAGGTAATTACAAGGTGAAGGAATTTCTGGTTCTTGGTCAGGCGAACACACTTTTGGCGTGCTGCTACCTTTGCCTCGCCGTGGCGGCGTGGGCTTTCCATCGGCGCGTGGCCTGGCTGAGCCGCGCGGCTCTGGCGCTGCCGTTTCTGCTGACCTTGCTGCAGTCCTTGACCCCGGACGGGGCCGAGACCCGGGCCCTGCGCATCTGGGAGGAGCCGTCGGGTGGTCAACGATGGGCCCAACGGCGGGGTGGGTTCGCAGGGTCCGGTGCCAGGTGTGAGGGTGCGGAATGGTTGGCCGCACAAGCGGCGCGGTTGTGTTGGGAGGGGCTCTCTTGCATTGCAGGCTCCCCCACCAGTAGAAACTACACTCCTTGGATCCGGCGGAGCATTTGGGCTGGGAATGTGCCCCCAGTCGTGTTTCTGTTAGCCAACCAAGCAAATGCGTCGCTACATTCTGCAACCGGAGACGACGTCGGCAACCATCCCGGTTCGAGCTCGTGCCAGCTCCGTTTCCAACTCCTCACCGCAGGACTTGGAACCCCAAGTCCAGGCGTTGCAAGAGGGCAAGGTCGTCGAAATCACTGCAGAGCCTGGGCTGAAGTCATTGAGAATTCATCGGTTTTTCAAAAGACTAGTGTTCCGGTCCCCTAAAATGGTTATGGGGTTCCCTTCAAACACCAACCGACTGGGGGTCCACCATTTTGAGAAACACTCGTAGCACAGCTGTCAACATACCGATGATTGAGTCTGCTTGCAGTCATTTGCCGTTCAAATGAAGCCTGCTTGATGACCCACGGGCAATTCGAGAACTGGGAGAACTCCAGCTTGCCCACTAAGGAGACGTACAATTTCATCTGATTCGAAACTCAGTTTCACCTTCTGATTTCACTTGCCCATCAGCAAGAAAATGTGTCTTCGCGCACTTTGTTGCCGCAGCTATCACAAGGACTTGTTGCCCCAAGATCCCTGGCGGGTTTGTTTGAGGCTCTGGCAGCAGCAATTTGTGTCTCCCAAATGAATGTTCCAGTCAGAAATCATCACCTGCGATGCCAAGTGTGCTTCACCTTTTCCCAGATAGTTGAAAGCATAGGGGTTCTAACTTCTAATAAAGAAGGGACAATGATTTGCGAGATTGACGGCTGGGTGCTGTGCTGGTGCAGGTGCTGTTTGGGGTGGTGTTTGAGCTGCTGGTGATGGCGCGGGCGCGTGTTTTTTTTTTTTTTTTCAGCCGACGGCAGGGTGCTAGGGAGGTGCAGTTTGGGTGCTGGTGTTGGTGCTGTTTTTGGGGTGCTGTTTGGGGCATGTTTGCGAGATTGACGGCCGGGCGCTAGGGGGCAGGCGCGTGTTGCGTGCTGTTCCAGATGCTGGCGCGGGCGCGCTTTTGTGGTTTTGGGATGCTCCTTTGGGTGTTGGTTGAGGTGCTCTTGGGCAGTTATATTAGAGGCGCTGGCGTGCATTTGTTGACACATGTTTCGCTATTTGGGGTCTATGCTGGCGTAATTTCCTTTGCAGTTTGCAGTTTGCGCAGATTCGCGGTTTTGACGCATTACGGTTGGAGAAAGTTGACCGATCACGATCTTGCAGCCTGAGTGAGCGTATCTTGGACATAAGAGTGTCGTGGATGCTTCTTTTTGGCCATCAATGAATGCCGTCCGCTGCAGGGTGAGTTTGCGTTGAACATTTCCTGGAACGCAGGGGGGGAAAACAAATCATTGTCTCTGCTCGTGCCGCAGATCCAAGAAGCACGGGCAGTTTGTCGGATGGACAGTGGAGCGTTTCGAATGCGCTTGGAAGCTGTCGACGTGCCAGGCGCCTGCGGCGCCTTCCGCTGGAGGCCGCCAACGGCGGCCTTCTGGTGCTGGTGGCTCTGGCTCGATTTGTGGAGGGGGCGACCACAAGAACTGAAGCATTTCATGCCCTCGGACTTCTTGAACGGCGTCAGCGCATCTCTAAATGTGAGAAGCCGTTTTCATGCGATTCCCAAATGCCGGACCCACGGATCCCATGTCATGTGCATCAGTCTCATCCGTCCTCTTCTTGCGACTTTTCGAAAGTATCTTCGATTTGTGGGGTCCCTTTGTTGAGAAGTGAAGTGCCTCCTGGCGAAGCTCCACGTGGTGCCTTGCAACAGCGGGTCACCGGCGATCTCATTGACACGGAGTCCCCCAACATGGATGGTTTACCATAACACATGGCCAAATGTGTGGTCCTTTCAGCAATCGTCGTCGCAGGTTTTGCTTTTGCTTTTTCAGATGTGCAACCTGCCAGGAAAGAGTGTGCAAAACGAACGCCGGTGCTCTACCTGCGGAGGCACGGCCGGCAGAGTGTTCCGCTTGGAGTGCATTGGATGCCGTGTTTAGAAGGGCGAAGAGGACAAACCACGTCTTTTCACCAATCAGTACAGGAGCATGTGGTCAGGTTTTGGCCGATGTATTTGGATGTTTTTTTTGCCCGCTTGTGAGCATGTACGCTACAGCTATCCCACGTTTTAGCACTGGTGGGGGGGTGAAGTTTCTCAGACATCCACACGTCACCGGTGTGGTTTGGCCAAGGTTTAATGCCAGCGTCAGCTTGCTGAAGAAGGCCAGGAAGAATGATTGGGCTTGCTGTCATGCCTGTACTGTAAGTATGGTCCATGGAACCTCGCGTTCTGAAAAGGCCACTCTCAAGTTGACATTCAAATTGCCGTCAATCTATCACCCGACCGTCCTTGACCAGATTACATGGCAAGTGCTTTTGACCGTGCTAAACAAATGGTCTTGCTGGACTCAATCAGGTTCCCAGCAACGGCTTAGGTGTGAAGTAGATGAACAACACCCCCTTTGCAGATGATTCTTTTTGGGAACAATGCCAGCGAAAGTCATGATGGAACCCATGGCAAATCTGAGCAGTTGTGGTTGCCAGGTTTTGCGGACCACATTTCATGCTGCCGTCCAACATCTTAAGCCTCCGGATTCCAGAGAATGCTTGGATCAACGGAACTGTCCTGCTTTCTTGGCTCGAAGTTGGTGCCTGAAAGCAGGCATCAGACGTCCGTGCGAAGTCCACTATCCATGTTTGCTTTCGAATGGTGCGGGGGACAGCTGCCATGCTGTGGCAGCTCATTGTCCTTCTTTGTATCTCGATGAAACATTGATATCGAGTCAATTTGAGGATGTTCGGGGTCTGGGGTCGTCTCAAAAGGCATCGAACGTGACGTCCATCTGTCAGCGGACTCCTCCGACATCCATGGGATGATTGCAACAGATGCCTTAGACCGTTGGCGTTCTGGCACGTGCACAAAACAGGTCTACGTTTCCTGGCAACTCAGGTGCCTAAGCCGTCAGCGTGGAGTGCGCACGTGCACACAGCACTAGTCGTTTTCGAATCCCACAGGAAGCTAAGCGGCTGGTCTTGATGCCAAATCTGCTTGAATGTTGATAGGTGAACCCAAAAAGTGCGGACCCATGTTGTACTCAAACGGAGCATGTGGGGAGATGGCATGTGGACGCATGTGGGGTCACACGATTGGACCAACAGATGATTAGCTGCTTGTGGATGTTCCTTTCCATGTCTCGACCGTCTCTGGAGCTGAGGCAGTGATATGATCCTGGCGAGTAGACCTGCCCACCATGATGTTCTGGATGATGACCTGACCCTTCACCGTCACTTAGACTCCGGATTTGGGTGGATGCGGGGGGTCGAATGGTTGTCATGAGCCGCCCCGACAGAGATCTTTGTTGATCTTCCCGGCGATGTCAAGGCTTTCAGAGGTTGGCAATGGACAGATACGCGGTGCTTGAAGCTTCATGTCATTCAACCCAATCTTACCAACGCAACACAATAGAGTAGCTCCATACTCGAGTGGTTGAAGCAAGTACGACGCCTGTCGTCTGTTCACCAGTTGATCTCCCAATGCCACACATGGGCATTGAACAAGCAGTGTCTGTGACCCGCTAGGTGGCAGTTCCTAAGACATGCTTTCACTGGTGCTCTGAAACCTTTGCAAGAGGGTCTTATGGTTCTACTGGCCGCCAGACAGCTGCCAGACTGGTGTCCAACCAAGATTCAGCTGTTTCTTCGCATTTGGGCGGTTCAAATCATCTCCATCATCACTCATAGTGCTGAGACTTGCAAGAGGGTAATCCATATGACAGAACTAGGTGGGATGATATCTGGCCGTGCAACCCACGTCACACCTGCTTGGCCCAGCTGAGGCGTCCGTGGCAAGTGCCCACAGGAGGTGCCGTTGCGGGCAGTTCTGACACAGCTCGGGCTGAAGGATGTGGAGGACGTGTACAGGATGCGTGGGATTGATTGGATGCTTGTCAGAGATGGAAATCCATTCAGATGGCGAGAGTCATGCACCACCCAGATTTCTCACCCGAACGTACTCAAATCATTTCGAACTGCGGGTTTCTGTTGACTCACAGTACGACGCATACGTATTACAAAGAGACTTCATGATGGCAATGGACTGAATCTATGGACACATTCTGAGGAGAATCTCTAGAAACAAGATGCATCTCTGAATTCACTTGCATGTTGGTCTAGTGTCAATATCCATCCACCTCATACAACCCCGACACCGCACTGACGGCACACGCGAGAGCACCTGCGCGCCGTCTCCGAATTGGCGTCCGAGGCGCGGCTGCGACGTGTGGCAGATCGATCTCGATGGCCTCGAGGAGGTGCAGGGCACCTTGGACGAGCGAATCGCGGAGCTGCCGAAGTTCTCCTGGCTCGACCTTGGCGACACCAACGTCACAGGGGACGTGAAAGCCTTGGAGAACAACACTTACCTCGGCTTCCTCCACCTCGCAAACACCCGGGTGACGGGAGACCTCAGAAGTCTCTCCCAAGCCACGTGGTTGACAGCTCTCAACCTGCAGAACACCCGGGTGGCCGGTGACCTGAGCGGCCTCTCTCAAGCCAGGGGGTTGAACGCTCTCGACCTGCGGAACACCCGGGTGGCCGGTGACCTGCGCGGCCTCTCCCAAGCCAGCTTGACATATCTCGACCTGGAGAACACCCAGGTGACAGGTGACCTGAGCAATCTCTCTCAAGCCACGAGGTTGCAAACGCTCAAGCTGCAGAACACCCGGGTGACCGGTGACCTGCGCGGCCTCTCTCAAGCCAGGCGGTTGAACGTTCTCGACCTGCGGAACACCACGGTGGCCGGGGACATCTCCGCGCTGCGCAACTGGTCGGAGCTTGTGACGGCTGAGCTGTCCCGGACCCAGGTGTCAGGGCGCCTTGACAGGTCGTGGCGTGGCCATTGCCAGCGGCTCCGGGACTTGAACCTGGCGGAGACCAAGGTGACCCTCGATCCAAATTACGACGACAAGTGGTTCAGCTGTCTAGGACTAGGAGGACATCCAGATCTCGACCACTGCTTTCTCCCAAAGTTGGCCACCTTGGACCTGAGCGGCTGCCCGCTCAACAGTGCAGCTGCTGACTTTTTGGAGGGCCTGCGCGCTTCGCCGTCGCTGGGCACGCTGAATGTTGGCAACGCCGGACTTAGCGGCCTTGTCACCGGCTACATTCAGGACGTGCAGGCTGTGGCCGTTGACTTGTCCTCCAACAAGTTGACACACATCGGAGCGCTTCCACCCAACTGTCGAAGCTTTACAGCAGCAAGCAATTACGGCAACTTGACGTTTGGGAAGGGTGTGCTCGGCAAAGCCATCAGTGCCGGAGTTTCGCTCGACCTGTGGAATGTGACCTTCGAAGATCCGACTGAAGCTTGCTACTTACTAGACCAACGTCGTTCCTTTTTCTGATTCGTGTATCTTTCTTGTTTACTTCATTTTGTGAAAAGCAGAAGGGTCGGATCGACAATTTATTGATTGTGAGCTGTTCTGATCTCCATTTGCCTAAAGCTAAGGCTGGGTGGTTGAGGTCATGAGAAAATGACAAACACCCCGTTTGCTTTGAGCCACCTTCGAGGATCTCAGTGCCGTCAAAAACAACTGTCCCTTTGAATGACCGTCGCCGAGGAGAGTGCATATCTTTTGGACCAACATATTCTAGAACCTACCGAGCATCGTGCAGTGTTCGAAGAGCGCGGCTTCGCTTGCTTCTCGGATTGGAAGGTTATTTGTTTGTAGGCAGAGCTCTAAGCAAGAACATAGAAAGCGCAGAACGCCGGAGAACTTCAACGGAGTGCGAAACCACATTCACTTCCCCTGAGACAGCCAGTTGCCGTTTATGTGTGCTTCAGATATGTTTACGCTTCTTGAGGGATGGCAAACTCTTGCAAAGCGCATTTTGACAGGTAGCCGTTGCACAAAAGGGGCAGGAAATCTTCAATGGATGGTATCTCTGAGATGGCAGGAGCGCATTTGATCAGAAGTCAGTACTTGTCCAGAGTTCCCCAAGAAGTGTCAAGGGTTGGTTTAAAGCAGCTTCCTCCACCTTCTTCATCGTCGGGCTTCCCAAAGACTGAGCCAAGGCTACGACGTGCTGCCAAAATCTTTTCAAATTTCGCCAGAGCTGTTCGCGCCGGAGAGACTATGCAGCTGCCTCCCGGGTTGGAGGCTCGAGGAAACGCAGTATTCGCCATTTTCCCGGGGTTTGGAGTGGTTTGCAGTTGTATCCGGAGCTATCATTGCAGTACTCACTGCAATATGGATGCATGCACGCTGAGCCTTGAAATACCAAACCGACACTGCCTCGCTTGTCGCGTCTGAGGAAGGGCTCGGGGGCCACGTGCCAGCTGTGTCCGAAGAACACCTTCAAGGATTCCTTCGAGGGCACCTGCCAGCAGTGCCCGGAAGGCAGCCAAGCTGCTCCAGGAGCCAAGTCACTCACTCAGTGCAGGTGCAAGATAGGTGAGGTCTTCAACGAAAGTGGTGTTCTGTGCCTTGGACGGATTTGAGTGGAGAGCTCGGAATGAATTGCGTAACTGGAGGGACTATTTTCAGTTTGCAAAGCTTGGGAGTGCTCACACTTCAAGTTGTCGCACTTTGTATGTTGGCGCTAGCCATGTGACGCACGCGTGCTTAATCGTGTTTGGGCAGTGAGGCGCTGCGGATGTCCAAAGGATGAAGCGCAACAGGAGGATTTGTGCGTGAAGTGCCACGAGCTCAACTGGAACTGCTCAGAGCCAGGCTTGGAGTGTCGTGCCCAAGGTTCAACTGTTCACTCGGCTTTCAACAGGTTCAAGACTCGCGTTTGTACGACCACCGTTGGACGACGTTCAGCGGGTTTGGAGGGTTCAGTGAATGGATTCCGCTAAACTGGTATAGGCTGAAAAGGATCACAACCGTTCTGTAACATTGATAAGACCCGCCCATCGCCAGGCTCAGAAGTTCTCTCGGCAAGGCCACTCCCTGGCTTCGCGCGGCTTGGGAACCAGACCAAGGCATTCAAGTGCTTCCCGCCATATGAACGTTGCGCCAACAATGAGTCCGCGGAAGAGTCGGGGTGCTTCGTCGGTTACACGGGCATCCTGTGTGGACAGTGCCGCTCTGGATTCTACTCAAGCAGGGATGCTTGCGAACGCTGCACAACTGCCTTGATCCTTCCCAATGTTTACTGTGCTTGGTATGTTGCGGGCTGCGCCATGATGTTGGCCTTGGTGGGAGGGCTGCTGTGGCTGCGGAACCAGGGTCAGGAGCAAGAGGAAAATCCTGACACAAGCCAGCGACAGAGGGGCTTTAATGTCTTGAAGCATCAACTCAAAGTGCAGGCTCCGATTCTTCTCCAACTATGCCGCTCGGCTCATTGAATAATGCCGAAGTTCCGTACATGATTGTTCTACGCTGATATATATATATGAATTATTATATATATATGTATATATATATATATATATTATTGAAATCAATGTATTGTTGAAGCAGATAATTGCTAAAAACCTTCCACACTAGCCTAAACGCAGCACACGATGTCAACAGCTACTGCAGCTATACAGCCAGTGTGCACAGATGTGGCCAGCATTGAATTCACCGAGGTCAGCTTTGGTCTGTTGTGGCTGCGCTGTCTTCAGGCCAGGAAGAAGAAGGAAGCGACAACATCAAGGACAGTCATTTGGCAGAAGGCGGTGTAAGTTTCTTGTGAGGTGGAAGTACGTTACATGACTGCTTGGTCATCCAGTAGCTGATATATGTCAATGTATTTAGATTGATGCAAAGATCTACCCTGAACCCTGAGGAGCCTTCCGCGACTGCTTTGTGGGAGCTGCCGTACATTCAAGCACTTCAGCTGTCCCTTTCAAACCTGAAAGGTGTCTTTAACTTGCAGTGCCACTACGATGCTCGGCTCATCCAGTCAATCTTTCACGGACTTGTGGGTGCAAAACGTGTTGCCTTGCAAGTTCCTGATGCGTAGCCAAAGCTGATTGCTTTGCGGCCTGCAAGCATGGTTGTTGCTTCCAGCCAGCACGGCCCTAATTGCCGTACTTGGTTTCAAGCTTGGTTGCAACAAGGATGGTCCCACAGTGCGCTGGGCGTCTGCGCTCCTCGCTCCAGCATTTCCTATCGCTGTTCTGGTGTTGTCCTTGGGGTTGGAGTTCGCACGTCGAGGACTTGGCATTTCGGTGGCGTTGCAGGCTCGACGCATGCCGCCGCCAAGAATTTGGCCGTCGGTTCGTCAACCCAAAGTTGCGGACGAGTAGACCAGCTGGTCCAAGCAAGACAAACAAAGGTGTTGTCGAGTTGCAGTGGAGCAATGTGGCAATGCACTGGACCATAGTGACATAGTGATGTTGTAAGGACCGTAGAAACCACGTTTGTAGCCCCGTGGCTCCTTTGCTTTATGCCACAGGTGGTGCCAAGGCGATCCTGTGTGGTGCTAATCCACACGTCATCAAATCTCGGGAGGCGCAAAGAACTCCGACTAAGTGCATGATTTGAAGCTTCTCAACTCTCACGACCTTGGGCCAGTCCACGCCCCGTCTAAATCATACCTGGGTGAGTTGGACATGTGAGAACGTTGTCGGACTGAGTGTATTCAGTTTGGCATGCAGACCTCAAGTGACCTGCCGTGTCTTGAAGTGCACACTCTTTCCGGTGACTCGCCCGAAAGTTCAGACACCTGCAGGTCATCGCCTTTCTCTACATTGGAGGAGCGTCCAGCTCATCAAACCTTCTGAGTTGCCAGGGGACGGATGGACTGGGTGAATCTTGGCTTCACTTCAGGATGATCTAAGTTTGTAAATAAGCAACCTTAGCAGCAACATGGGCGAATCTTCTGCCTTTCAAGCAACAGAGTGGATAGAGTTGTTGGCATTTGAAGGACACAAATGAAAGCGCTTTTGAGATGTTTTGTTCTTTCCTCAGAAATCAAGCTTGCATGAACACCAATGAGAAATGTAGGTTGACAGTGGACTGGTTTGCGTGGTTTTGGCTTTGGGGGAGATACCTCCTATCTGGTTTACAGAGGGGGGGGGCGATGTGAGGAAGGCAAAAAACCCCCACCTTCTCGAGTCACAACCCCATCCTGGCACCAGAAGAAAGCAAAGATGCGGTGTTGGATCGTTATTGTGCCTTTCGTGGCTGACTTGGAGACTTAAATGAACAAGCTGCGCTTGCATGCGGTGTGTGAAGCATTCCTCAACTGCAACTTGTGCGCCCAGGAACAGTTGCCCAAGAGCTTTGCCTTCCGAAGTGCAATTCCTGAAATTCTTTGCGATAAAGAGTCATCCTTCAAAGCCAAAGTTGACATAGTCGCCTACATCACCGCCTTTGGCTACGCCGTGGTGGTCCCATGTGGCCTCCTGTACCTCTATGCACGACAGCACCTCCTCTTGCGCCGCAGCAGGATGACCACCACATTTGCAACTCACCAGGATGATCTCAAAGTGACATTGAGGCCAGTTCTGAAGTCAGGAAAGCCGACCCCAGAGAAGCAGGAGCAGTGGACGCGTCACACGGCGGCATCGACCGCTGCCTACATCTCCTTGACGTTTCGAGGGCCGCTCTCTTTGAGGATGGAAGAAGGACAGATGGTGGTGCAGATGCTCGAGGGTTGCAGTTTGACGCACGGAGAGGTGGAGATGAATATTTCGGACGTGGGCACCTTCCTTGACGAGGACGAGGTTGAACTGGCGCGGATACTGAGATGCAGGGCCATCAGTGAGATGCTGATGGAAAGGAGCACCCTTCAAGAAGTGGCCCCATCAGAGAGGATCTTGCTGGGTGCCCAGGACTTGCTGTCAAAGTATGCCTTTGGCAGCTCAGAAGAAACTTGGGACATTGTGAGATGGCTACAAGAGAGATGGATTTGCTTTAATCTGAACCAGTCTGATCACGCTTTTGGCTGAGACCCGGGAACAGAACGAAGGACTCAACATGTGTGATAAGAGTCACATGTGTGTGGGATGACATGGAGAGTTTCAATTGACTCCATAGGGCATGGTGATGTTTAAAGCTTGGAACTTTGCGGATCCCACGGGAGCGGGTTAGGTAGAAACGTCTTCCTGGAGATCGTGCAGAAGTTGGTGGCCGTGGCCTTGGTCTCCACCGTCTACAGCCCCGATGGCTTGAAGCTGGCCCTCGGCATCACCCTCACCACGGCGGCCATGGTGGCGTTGGTGCAGCCGTATTTGAAGCCGCAGGCAGATGGTCAGACCATGTGTGCGGAGTTTCACGCTCCATCTTGGACACGTGTTCTGTTGAGCTTTTACTGGAGTGCGACGTTGAGTTGTCCTGAAACGCTGCATGGTTGACTGGGGTTGTCGCTGACGCTCGCGTGAATGGCCTCGGGGTGATCTCCAAACTCAACAAGTGAATCCCAAGTCGCACTCATCGCACTATTTGCAACCAAGCTCCACACCCGCACGACCCCCAGCCCCAAGAAAATTAAAAAAAAAAAAACTCGGTTTTTGTAGATGCAGGTAGTGAAAAGGTGGATGAACGTTCAACGCCCCCCTCGGTTTGCGAGGCGAACACGCTTCTGACGTGCTGCTACCTGTGCCTCGCCGTGGCGGCTTGGGCCTTCGATCGGCGCGTGGCCTGGCTGAGCCGCGCGGCGCTGGCGCTGCCCTTCCTGCTGACCTCGCTGCAGTCCTTGACCCCGGACGGGGCCGAGACCCGGGCGCTGCGCATCTGGGAGGACCAGACGGGTCCCTCAAAGGAAGGCACACCCATTTATAGTCCCACCCGACACACTTCACCAGATTGGATCCAAGTGTCATTTGCACGGACCATTCAAGCAGGGAATTTGCCCCCGGCCATGTTTGTGGTGGCTACAGTATGCACCCCCCAACGGTTAGCTCGGAGACGTCGTTGAGCAAGGATCGGTTCGAGCTCTTGCCAGCTCCTCACCCTGCGCAGGACTTGGAACCCCAAGTCCAGGCGTTGCAAGAGGGCAAGGTCGTCGAAATCACTGCAGAGCCTGGGCTGAAGTCATTGGGAATCCATGGGTTTCTCAAAAGGATAGCGGGCCCTGAAACGGTTGGTCTTCCTTGGGTTTCCCGCCAAATACCGACTAAAAGGGGTCCACCATTTGGAGGAACACTCACATTGCACTGATGACGGAGTCTTGTGTGCGCCATGTAGCACCGGCTAGAACTGAGACAATTCCACCATGCCTACTAAGGAGACGTACAATTTCATCTGATTCGAAACTCAGTTTCACCTCGCGACTGCACCTTGCCATCAGCAAGAAAATGTGTCTTCTTCCGCGCTTTGTTGCCGCGGCTGTCACAGGGACGTGCTTTTGCAAGATATCTGGCACGTTTGTGACAACATCAATCAATTTGTGTCTCCCAAAGTCAGTCTTGCAGCCAGAGATCCTAAGTGTGCTTCACTTTTCACTTTTCACAAGCAGTGTGGATCCCAACTTATGGGCAGTTCCTGTGTAGCTGGCGGAGGTTTTGCGCTTTGATGCGTCGGAAGCGGGAACATTGACCCGACCACGAGCTTGCAGCCTGAATGTATCTTCGGCATGAGACGGTCATGGAGTGCTCTCTTTGGCCATCAACGATTGCCATTCCCTGCAGTGTGAGTTTGTGTTGAACATTTCTTGGGGATTGCTGGAGCGAGGTGCGCGAGGGAGGAGAACAGATCATTGACTCTGCTTGTCCCACGAATCCAATAAACACCAGCAGTTCCAAGCTCTTCTAGTGCGACGTGCCAGGCGCAAGGAGCGCCAAAGTGAGCACGCTGGAGGCCTTCCGGCGGCCGCAGAAGGTGCTGGTGGCCCTGGCTCCTTTCTCAAGTCTGGAACTTTGGGACGGGCCATGACCAGTGCGGGTCGGGAGGGCTGAACCATTGGATGCCCTCGGACTGAAGCCATGGTTCTCCTCCAACGACATGGGCGCATCTTGAAGTTTGAGCACCATTCCCAAATGCCGGACCCATGGATCCCATGCAATGTGCATCAGTCTCAACTGTCCTCATTTTTGTGACTTTGCGCACGTGTCTCCGATTTGTGGGGTCCCTTGTTGAGGAGTGATTTGTGCCACTCGGCGACGCTCCATGTGGGTCGCAAATGTGGAGGCCTTGCAAAAGCTGGTCACCTGCGATCACAGTGACACGGAGTCACCGAACATGGATCGTTTACCACAACACATGGCCAAATGTGTGGTCCTTTCCGCAATCGTCGTCGCAGTTCTTATTTTTCAATATTTGTTGAGACGTGCAACCTGCCAGGGAGAGTGTGAAGAACGAACTCCGGTGCTCCAGCTGCGGAGGCACGGCATGTTCCGCTTGGAGTGCATTGGATGCCGTGTTTAGAAGGGAGAAGAGGACAAACCACGTCTTTTCACCAATCAGTACAGGAGCATGTGGGCAGTTTTTGGCCGGTGTACTTTGGATGTTTTTTTTTGCCCGCTAGCATGTACGCTACAGCTATCCCAGGCTTTAGCACTGGGGGGTGAAGTTTCTCAGACATCCACACGTCACCGGTGTGGTTTGGCCAAGGTTCAATGCCAGCGTCAGCTTTCTGAAGGCCAGGAAGAATGATTGGGCTTGCTGTCATGCCCGTACTGTAAGCATGGTCCATGGAACCCCGCGTTCTGAAAAAGCCACTCTCAAAATTCTGACCAGCTTACATGGCAAGTGTTTTTGACCGTGCTAAACAATTGGTCTTGCTGGACTCAATGAGGTTCCGTGTAGTGGCTTAGGTGTGAAGTAGATGAACAACACCCCCTTTGCAGATGATTCTTTTTGGGAACAATGCCAGCGAAAGTCATGATGGAACCCATGGCAAATCTGAGCAGTTGTGGTTGCCAGGTTTTGCGGACCACATTTCATGCTGCCGTCCAACATCTTAAGCCTCCGGATTCCAGAGAATGCTTGGATCAACGGAACTGTCCTGCTTTCTTGGCTCGAAGTTGGTGCCTGAAAGCAGGCATCAGACGTCCGTGCGAAGTCCACTATCCATGTTTGCTTTCGAATGGTGCGGGGGACAGCTGCCATGCTGTGGCAGCTCATTGTCCTTCTTTGTACCTCGCTAAAAATCGAGTCAATTGGGGATGTTCGGGGTCTGGGGTCGTCTCAAAAGGCATCGAACGTGGCGTCCATCTGTCAGCGGACTCCTCCGACATCCATGGGATGATTGCAATAGATGCTTTGGACCGTTGTTGGCGTGCTTCAAAACAGGTCTACGTTTCCTGGCAACTCAGGTGCCCAAGCCGTCAGCGCGGAGTGCACACAGCACTAGGCGTTTTCGAATCTCAGGTTGGTCTTGCCAATGCCAAATCGGCTTGAATGTTGATAGGTGAACCCAAGGAGTGCGGACCCATGTTGTACTCAAACGGAGCATGTGGGGAGATGGCATGTGGACGCATGTGGGTCACACGATTGGACCAACAGATGATTAGCTGCTTGTGGATGTTCCTTTCCATGTCTCGACCATCTCTGGAGCTGAGGCAGTGATATGATCCTGGCGGGTAGACCTGCCCACCATGATGTTCTGGATGATGACCTGACCCTCCGACACTTAGACTCCGGATATGGGTGGATGCGAGGGGTAGATTGGTTGTCACGAGTCGCCACAGGGATCTTTTGGATCTTCCTGGCGATGTCGAGGCTTTCAGAGGTTGGCAATAGATACGCTGTGCCTGAAGCTTCGTGTCATTCAGCCCCATCGTACCAACGCAACACGATAGAGTAGCTCCATACTCAAGTGCTTGAAGCATGTACGACGCCTGTCGTTTGTTCACCTGTTACAAGCAGTGTCTGTGACCGGCTCGGTGGCAGTTTCCTAAGACATGCTTTCACTGGTGCTCTCAAACCTTTGCAAGGGGGTCTTATGGTTCTACTGGCCGCCAGACAGGTGCCCTGGTGTCCAGATTCTGTTTCGCATTTGGGTGGTTCAATGTCCATCGTCACTCGGGCTGAGACTTGCAAGCAGGTAATTCATATGACAGAACTCGCTGGGATATCTGGGCCGTGCAACCCACGGCACGCCGGCTGGCCCTGAGGCGGCAAGTGCCCACAGGAGGCGCCGTTGCGGGCAGTTTTGACGAAGCTCTTGCTGAAGGATGTGGAGAACGTGTACGAGATGCATGGGATTAGATGGATGCTTGTCAGAGATGAAAATGGCAAGAGTCAGGCGCCCAGATTTCTCACCCGAACGTACTCCAATCATTTCCAGCTGCTGGTTTCTGTTTACTCACAGCACTCCACACACATATCACGAAACAGAATTCATGATGGCAATGGACAGAAATGGACAGATTCTCAGGAGCACCTCGCAACTCGGATCGCATCTCTCTACATCAACTGCGTGTTGGATAAACATCACCATCCATCACCTCATACAACCCCAACATCGGCACACCTCACATATTATCTTGGTTGGTGCGTAAAAACGAGATGCGCCCGGATTTCCGCGATGGCGCATGTGGCAATTGCTGCATGCGATGTCGAAGACCTGTTGCGCAAGAAGTCGGTGGTTATTTGGGTGCTTGGATAGCAAGCATTGCAATCCATTCGGATGGCAAGAGTCATACACCACTCATACCACCCAGATGTCTTATGCGACATACTCAGATCATTTCGAGCTGCTGCTTTACAGTGCACCGCATAGATTTCACAATCAGAATTCATGATGAATGGCCAGAAGGCTTGGACAGAGTGGCAGGATAATCTCACAACTCTGATCATGCACAGAAATATGATGCATCTCTGAATTCGTCTGCGTGTTGGACGAGCGTCAATATCCATCCACTTCATACAACCCCAACATCGGCAGCCCTCGCACATCCTCTTGGTTGCGTAAAACGAGATGCGTTGGACGAACATCAACATCTACCGAACCGATCTTTGATGAGATGCATCAACGTGAGTTGCATGGAGGGCACATGAAGACGACAACCTGACATGGCCATGGTAATTTCGGGAGGAACATCACCGCAGCCATGACATCGCATGCCATCGCTCCCGAGGAGCCGCTGCAAAGTCGAGACGATCCACTTCCGTGGCCGCAAGGTGCAGGGCAGCTTGGACGAGCGAATCGCAGAGCTGACGGAGCTCTACAACCTCGATCTTAGCGACAGCAACGTCACGGGGGACCTCAAAGTCTTGGAGAAGAATAGGCAACTCCGTGACCTCCGCCTCCAGCGCACCCGGGTGACAGGTGACCTGAGCAGCCTCTCTCAAGCCAGGGGGTTGCAAAAGCTCTACCTGCACAGGACCCAGGTGACCGGTGACCTGGCGAGCCTCTCTCAAGCCACGGAGTTGACACATCTTGACCTGCACGACACCCGGGTGAAAGGTGACCTGAGCGGCCTCTCTCAAGCCAAGGGGTTGCAAAAGCTCTACCTGCACAGGACCCAGGTGACCGGTGACCTGGCGAGCCTCTCTCAAGCCACGGACTTGACACATCTTGACCTGCGCAACACCCGGGTGACCGGTGACCTGAGCGGCCTCTCTCAAGCCACAGAGTTGAGATGTCTGTACTTGCACAACACCTGTGTGACCGGTGACCTGAGCGGCCTCTCTCAAGTCACGAAGCTGAGATTTCTCTACCTGCAGAACACCCATGTGGCCGGTGACCTGAGCGGCCTCTCCCAAGCCACGCAGCTGAGATTTCTCTACCTGCAGAACACCCAGGTGACCGGTGACCTGAGCGGCCTCTCTCAAGCCAAATTAAGACATCTCAACCTGCAGAACACCCAAGTGGCCGGCAACATCTCCGCGCTGCACGGCTGGTCGAAGCTTCAGACAGCCGAGTTGTCCCGGACCCAGGTGTCAGGGCGCATTGACAGGTCTTGGAAGGGCTGCTGCAAACAGCTGCGCTCCTTGAAGCTGGCGGAGACCAAGGTGTCCTTGCGCTACGACTTCAAGGACATCTTCTGCCAACTTGTCGGAAACTGCCTTCTGCCAAAGTTGGCCACTTTGGACCTGAGCGGCTGCCCGCTCAATTGTGCCGCAGCTGAGTTTTTCCAGGCCCTGCAGGCGTCGCCATCTTTGACCACGCTGAAGGCTGCCAACGCCGGACTCAGCGGCGAGATCAGCGCCACGGACCTGAAGAACGTGCAGGCTGCGGCCGTTGACTTGTCCTCCAACAAGTTGACGCGCATCGCAGCGCTTCCGCCCCGGTGTCAAAGCTTTGCAGCCGCAGGCAATGATTGCCCCTTGGCGTTTGGGAAGCGTGTGCTTGGCAAAGCCTCCAGAGCCGGAATCTCCGTCAACCTCTGGAACGTGACCTTCGAGCCAACTGAAGCTTGCTACGTGCTATAAGTTGTCCCCTTTTCCGGTTGCAGCAGAGGGTCACCCCGTGTACCTTTCTTGTTTGTTTCAACTTGTGAAACGCCACAGAGTCGGAGTCGACAATTCGTTGATTGTGAGCTGTTATGATTGTCATTTGCCAAAAGCTGCCTCACTCAATGAAACCTGCTTACGTTGAACCGCCTTTCAGGGTCTCAGTGCTGTTGCAAACAAGCGTCTCTTCACACGAGTCTCGCCGAGGAAAGTGCACATCTTCTGGACCGACAGTTTCTATCACCCACCGAGCGTCGTGCAGTCTACAACGAAGATCGCGGCTTCGCTTGCTTCTTGGTTTGGAAATTCATTTGTTTGTAGGCAGAGATCTTTGCACCGACATAGCTAGCACAATCACATGCAGCCACTAGCCACACGCAGAACGCCGGACAACTTCAATACGGCGTGAAACAACCTTCACTTCCCTCGAGACAGCCAGTTGCCGTCTATGTTCCCTTCAGAAAAAAATACGTGTTCTTTTGTTTTTTTTCCCGGAAGCATTGCGAAGGGTTCTTCTTCTAAAAGCGGCTGCAAACTTCACCTGCCAACAACTCATGCCAACTTGCCGAGGAGTTATTTCACCTGCTAACTTCTCATGTCAACTTGACCTCCAACTTCGCGTGCCAACTTGTACAGAGTTATGTCACCTGCCAAGTTCTCATGCCAACTTTTCGATAGTTACTTCATCAGCCAACTTCTCATGTGAACTTTTCGGGCGTTATCTCATGATCCTAAAAGCACAAGCTAACTTTTCGGGTGTTCCTTCACTATCCTAAAAGCACAAGGTAACTTTTCTTTTGTACCTTCACTTCTCAACTCTTAATTCTTCTTCTTTTTCTGGCCGGGGTAGGCCTGACGGGAGCTAACGAAACGTACCCCTCTGAGAAGATCTCGCGTGTCGAAGCGCTCTCCCTGTGACGCCGCGCGATGTCTTGACTGCGGCAAACCCTCTGCGGAGATCGTGCGTGTCGAAGCGCTCTCGCTGTGGCGCCGTGCGAATTCTTCTTCGGCGAGCCCTCTGCGGAGATCGTGCGTGTCGAAGCTCTCTCGCTGTGGCGCCGTGCGAATTGTCTTGACCTTGGCGAACCCTCTGCGGAGATCGTGCGTGTCGAAGCGCTCTCGCTGTGGCACCGTGCGAGTTTGTCTTGACCTCGGCGAACCGTCTGCGGAGATCGTGCGTGGTTCGATCCCCCCCCTGATCCGCGCCAGCTCCGGCTCAAGAACAGCTCAAGAATAGCGATTCGCAAGCGCCCAAGTATAGTGCGGAAACTGTGGGAAAATGAAATTTTGGAGCGCAAAAGTACTAATTGCGCAAGTGGTTCCCGCAGCTCCGGCTGAAATCGCAAGTTTCCATTACCCAAGCAGCGCGCGAAGAGCATTGAAGAGCTTTGCAGTTTTACTTGCCAACTTCTCGTGCCAACTTTCCGAGAGTTATTTCATCTGCCAACTTCGCCTGCCAACTTTTCGAGAGTTATGTCACCTGCTAACTTCTCATGTCAACTTGACCTGGCAACTTCGCCTGCCAACTTTTCGAGAGTTATGTCACCTGCCAAGTTCTCATGCCAACTTTTCGATAGTTACTTCACCAGCCAACTTCTCACGCCAACTTTTTGGGCGTTATCTCATGATCCTAAAAGCACAAGCTAACTGCAGCTAACTTTTCGGGTGTTACTTCACTATCCTAAAAGCACAAGCTAACTTTTCTTTTGTACCTTCAGTTCTCAACTCTTAATTCTTCTTCTTTTTCTGGCTGGGGTAGGCCTGACTACCCCTCTGCGAAGATCTTGCGTACCCAAGCGCTCTCGCTGTGACGCCTCGCGAACTTGTCTTGACCGCGGCGAACCCCTCTGCGGAGATCGTGCGTGTCGAAGCTCTCTCGCTGGGGGCCGTGCGAATTTGTTTTGACCTTGGTGAACCCTCTGCGGAGATCGCGCCTGTCGAAGCGCTCTGGCTGTGGCGCCGTGCAAATTTGGCTCGGTCTCGGCGAACTCTCTGCGGAGATCGTGCGCGTCGAGGCGCTCTCGCTGTGGCGCCTTTCGAATTTGTCTTGACCTTGGCGAACCCTGTGCGAAGATCGCGCCTGTCGAAGCGCTCTCGCTGTGGCGGCGTGCGAACTTGTCGTGAGCTCGGCGAACCCTCTGCGGAGATCGTGCGTGTCGAAGCGGGAACGCGCTTTGCGTAATTTCTTCTTTTGTGCTCCAAAGTTTTCCTCTTTGCAGCGAGAGCTGCGTTTCAGTGCTAGACTTTGGTACTTGAGAATTGCTATTCTTGAGCTATTGTTGAGCCGGAGCTGGCGCGGACAGGGGGGAATCGAACCCGCGATGCCGCGATTGCGAGAGCACGTGCGCTCTAAACCGCAAGACAACTCTCAAAGACTATTCGCGAGCAGCGAAAGCAAGAATATTCGCACGGCGCCACAGCGAGAGCGCAGCTCCGGCAAGTTTCAAGCACACAAGCAGCGCGCGAAGAGCATTGAAGAGCTTTGCAGTTCAGGAGTGGTTTTTCCCGGAAGCATCGCAAAGGGTTCTTCTTCTAAAAGCGGGTGCAAACTTCACCTGCCAACTTCTCATGCCAACTTTTCGAGAGTTACTTTACCTGCCAACTTCGCCTGCCAACTTTTCGAGAGTTATGCCACCTGCTAACTTCTCATGTCAACTTGACCTGCCAACTTCGCCTGCCAACTTTTCGAGAGTTATGTCACCTGCCAAGTTCTCATTTGCCAACTTTTCGATAGTTACTTCACCAGCCAACGTCTCATGTCAACTTTTCGGGCGTTATCTCATGATGCTAAAAGCACAAGCTAACTTTTCGGGTGTTACTTCACTATGCTAAAAGCACAAGTTAGCTTTTCTTTGTACCTTCAGGCCCGACAGGAGCTTACGAAACGTACCCCTCTGCGGAGATCGTGCGTGTCGAAGCGCTCTCGCTGTGGCGCCGTGCAAATTTGTCTTGGTTTCGGCGAACCCTCTGCGGAGATCGTGCGTGTCGAAGCGCTGTCGCTGTGGCGCCGTGCGAATTGTCTTGACCTCGGCGAGCCCTCTGCGGAGATCGTTCGTGTCGAAGCGCTCTCGCTGTGGCGCCGTGCGACTTTGCCTTGAGCGCGGCGAAGATCGTGCGCGTTGAAGCGCTTTCGCCGTGGCGCCGTGCGTGTCGAAGCTCTCGCTGTGGCGCCGTGCAAATTTGCTCTCGCTGCGGCGCCGTGCGTATTTTCTTGCGTTCGCTGCCCGCGAATGGTCTTTGAGAGTTGTCTCGTGGTTTGCGCGCCTGCTTTCGCAATCGTGGCGCCGCGGGTTCGATTCCCCCCTGTTCAGCGCCCGCTCCGGCTCAAGAATAGCAACCCCATTGCAACGATCTGTGCTGACCGTGATCCGTGCCGCTGTCCTTGCCACAAGTTATTGACAGCGCTTGACTTGACGCATGGCAGAGTATTTTTTGAGCCGGCTCGCCCGCGACGTCAATAATGAATATGATGATGGACAATGGAATGGTCCAACGTTGCTGGCGCTAACGTGCGCTCATGATGACTTGCGATTCACTGATGCGACAATATCAAAGAATAATTATTATAGAATTGAGTGACACACGCTTACTGTGCATGTTGTATGTTCTTGCATGTGTTTGTCCTTGTTTGCATTTGTGTCATGTATTTTTGCACTGTTTTTGCACCGTTTTTGCATTTTTTGTATTTTGTCGCATATTTTTTCATTTTTTGTATTTTTTGCATGTTTTTGCACTTTTTTGATTTTTTTGCATGGTTTTGCATTTTTTGCACTTTTTTTGCATCTTTTTGCACTTTTTTGCATCTTTTTGCACATTAGATGCAAAAATAAGATAATTTGAGATAATTTGAGATAAATTGAGGTAAGGTCCAAACCCCATGGATCTGGGACCCTTAATATAATCAGTGATATAGTACGGAAACTGTGCTCCCGCAGCGCTGGCTGGAAAATGGAAACTTTGGAGCACAAAAGTACTAGTTATGCAAAGTGCGTTCCCGCAGCTCCGGCTGACCAAGTACACAAGCAGCACGCGAAGAGCATTGAAGAGCTTGGCAGTTCAGGAGTGTTTTTTTCCCGGAAGCATCGCGAAGGGTTCTTCTTCTAAAAGCGGGTGCAAACTTCACCTGCCAACTTCTCATGCCAACTTTTCGAGAGTTACTTCACCTGCCAACTTCGCCTGCCAACTTTTCGAGAGTTATGTCACCTGCTAACTTCTCATGTCAACTTGACCTGGCAACTTCGCCTGCCAACTTTTCGAGAGTGATGTCACCTGCCAAGTTCTCATGCCAACTTTTCGACAGTTACTTCACCAGCCAACTTCTCATGTCAACTTTTCGGGCGTTATCTCACTAAAAGCACAAGCTAGCTTTTCGGGTGGCGCTTCACTATCCTCAAGGCACAAGCTAACTTTTCTTTTGTACCTTCACTTCTCGCCTCTTAATTCTTCTTCTTTTTCTGGCCGGGGTGGCCCGACAGGAGCTTACGAAACGCACCCCTCTGCGGAGATCGTGCGTGTCGAGGCGCTGTGCAAATTTGTCTTGGTCTCGGCGAACCCTCTACGGAGATCGTGTGTGTTGACGTGCTGTCGCTGTGGCGGCGTGCGAATTTGTCTTGACCTCGGCGAACGTGGCGCCGTGCGAATTTGCTTTGAGCGCGCCGAACCATCTGCGGAGATCGTGCTCTGTGGAGATCGCGCGTGTCGAAGCTCTCTCGCTGTGGCGCCGTGCAAATTTGCCTTGATCCAATGGTCTGGCGTCGCGGGTTCGATTCCCCCCTGTTCTGCGCCAGCTCAACTCTCAAGCGCCAAAGTATAGTACGGAAACTGGGCTCCCGCAGCGCTGGCTGGAAAGCGCAAACTTTGGAGCACGATAGTACCACGCAAAGTGCGTTCCCGCAGCTCCGGCTGCAATCGCAAGCTTCAAGCACACAAGCGGCACGCGAAGAGCGCACAGCTCAGGATTGAAAATCGCATTTTTTGTACAACACTAGCGCGCGAAGACATTCCCGTGGCTCTGGCTCCCGAATAGCATGTTTGGTGTACAAAAGTAGTGTGAAAATCGAGACTTTTGCGTACAACAGTAGTACACGAAGTGCGCTCCCGGCACCTTTCACGCACGTGAAGCGCACTCCTGCAATTTTTGCGTACAAAAGTAGTACGCGAAGTGCACTCCCACAGCTCCCGCTGCACAATCGCACCTTTTACATACAAAAGTCGTACGCGAAGCGCACTCCTGCAGCTCCGGCTCGAAATTCGCACGCGTCCTCTAAGTACAAAAGTAGTACGCGAAGTGCATTCAGCTCCGGCTGAAAGCTTGCAAGTTCAAAGTGCAAATAGTACACGAAGCGCACTCCCGCAACTCCAGCTCGAAATTCGCAGTTTTTGCGCGCAAAAGTAGTACGCAAAGCGCACTCCCGCATCTGCAGCTCGAAATTCGGAACTTCTAAGTACAAAAGTAGTACGCAGAGAGCATTCCCAGAGCTCCGGCTGCAAAATCGCAATTTCTAAACACAAAAGTAGTGCACGAAGAGCACTCCCACAGCTCTGGCTCGAAATTCGCAAGTTTGAAGTACAAAAGTAGCACGCGAAGCGCATTCCCATGGCTCTGGCTCAAGAATAGCAATTCTCAAGTACAAACGTATAGTGCGGCAACTGTGCTCCCGCAGTTCTGGCTGCAACATCGCAATTCACGCAGCTCCGGATCGAAATGGCAATTTTTTGGAGAACAAGAGCAGTACGCAAAGTGCACTCCATGCAACTTTTAAGTAGAAAAGTAGCGCGCGAATGCAATCCCGCAGCTCCGGCTGAAACATATCTAAGTTTGTGCACGCAAAGGTCGTGCGCGAAGGCTCTCGCAGCCCCAGCTCGAAAATCACAGTTTTTAAGTGCAGAAGTAATGTTCGGAGAGTGCGCTCCATCATCTCCAGCTCGCAAATTGCAACTGTAAAGCGCAAAAGAAGCACCCAGGTACACTTTCGCATCTCCAGCTTGAGAATCTTAACTTACGCGCGCAAACGTAGTGTGCGAAGAACACTTCTGTGGCTACGCCAGCCAGCCTTCTTGCGCAGCCAAACTGCGCACTGATTTGGATTTCACGGGCACAAAGAGTGGAGCAACAGAAACTGACACGAGAGATTGCGAAGCATGATGCTAAGTTTGCTCATCAGAACTTGCAGAAGCTAGGCTTGAGCAGGGACATTGACTTGTTTACGCTTTGTTTCTCATGGGGGGAGGCGTCAGAGTTGATTTAACGTGTTTCTTTGCTCCGGGCCACCTGTCGTCCATTGTGGATGGCAAACTCTCGCCAAGTGCACCTCCAGGCTCGCCACAGATTTTGGCAGCTGGCCGCATAAAACGGGCAGGCGGATCATAAATGGATGGTATTTCTGAGATGACAGGAGCGCGCTTGATCAGAAGCAGTGCTCCCAGCAGGGCGGTGCAGTGTGAAAGGGAGATTGCTGAAAACTGACTCTCTTGCTCCCAGAACATGAGACGCATGTGCAAGGGGCTGTGAGTGAGAGAGAAGCAATCCTTAAGAAATATTGGGGCACAGCGTTTTGCCAATATTGTTGGGTTCGAGCAGCTTCCTCCGCCTTCTTCATCATCGGGTTTCCCAAAGACTCGAAGAGCCAAGGCTACGATGTGCTGCCAACAAATTTCCGAATTTCGCCGGAGCTGTTTGCGCCGGAGAGACTCTGCAGCTGCCTCCCCGGCTGGAGGCTCGAGGAAATTATGTTCAGAAGAAATGTCCGGGGTTTGAGTGGTTGGCAGTTGCATCTGGATCTATCGTTGCAATGACTGAGGTCGGTGAGTCTCGAGGTACCAAACCGAAACTGCCATTTGTCGCGTCTGAGGAATGGTTCAGGGGCCACCTGCCAGCAATGTCCGAAGAACACTTTCAAGGATTCCTTCGAGGGCACCTGCCAGCAATGCCCGGAAGGCAGCCAAGCTGCTGAAGGAGCCAACTCACTCACTCAGTGCCAGTGCAAGATAGGTGAGGTCTTCAACGAAAGTGGTGTTCCGTGCCTTGGACGGATTTGAGTGGACCGCTCAGAATGAATTGAGTCGCTGGCCCATTTGTTTCCAGTTTGTGCAGCCTGGGAGCGGACAAACTTCAAGTTGTCGCACTTTCTATGTTGGCGCTACCTGTATGCACGCGTGTTTTGTTTTCTTTTGCCCGGATGCGTGAGGCGCTGCGGATGTCCAAGGGATGAAGCGCAGAACGGGGATGTGTGCGCGAAGTGCGACGAGCTCAACTGGAACTGCTCAGAGCCAGGCTCGGAGTGCTGTGTGTTCACTTGGCTTTTGACAGGTTCAAGAATCGCGCGTCAGGCACGGATGACATGTCAGAGGGATTGGAGGGTTCTGGATTCCACTCGTTTTTTCCAACTTGGGTAGATTCAAAAGGATCACAACTGTTCTGCAACATTTCGGAGGGTTTTGGTGAGAACCGCTCATCGCCAGGCTCAGAAGTTCTCTCGGCAAGGCCACTCCCTGGCTTCGCACGGCTTGGGAACCAGACGAAGGCATTCAAGTGCTTCCCGCCAGATGAACGCTGCAGCAACGAGTCCGCGGACGAGGCCAGGTGCTCCACCGGTTACACCGGCATCCTGTGTGGGCAGTGCCGCCCTGGATTCTACTCAAGCGGGGATGCTTGTGAACGCTGCACAACTGCCTTGATCCTTCCCAACGTGCACTATGCTTGGTATGTTGCAGGTTGCGCCGTGATATTGGCCTTGGTGGGAGGGCTGCTATGGAACCAGGGTCAGCAAGCAGAAAATCCTGAGAGAAGCCAGGGATTCAGCGCCTTGAACCATCAGCTCAAAGTGCAGGTGCCGATTCTTCTCCAACTATGCCGCTCGGTTCGTTCTACAATCATGCCGAAGTTCGGTGCATGATTGTTCTACATTGGCATGATTGTTTTACATTGACAGATTTTTGTTTTTAGAATCGATGTATTGTTACAGCAGAGACTTCTTAGGTGCTCTTCGAGCCTTCACGCTAGCTTAAACGCACCAAACAATGTCGACAGCTACTGCAGTATACAGCCAGTCCGTTGCTGCCAGCATTGAAGTCACCGAGGTCAGCTGTGGTCTGTCGTGGCGATGCTGTCTTCAAGCCAGGAAGAAGGAAGCGACATCAAGGACAGGCATGTGGCAGGCGGCGTAAGTCTTGGGTGATTTGGAAGTTTATGACTTCCACAATCATCCAGCAGTTCATACGTACTTAGATTGATGCAAAGATCCATGCTCAACCCTGAGGAGCCTTCCGCGACTGCTTTGTGGGAACTGCCCTACATCCAAGCACTTCAGCTGTCACTTTCAAACCTCAAAGGTGTCCTGAACCTGCAATGCCACTACGACGCTCGGCTCATCCAATCAATCTTTCAGGGAGTTCTGGGTTGTAAACCGTGTTGCTTTGCAAGTTGCTGCCGCGTAGCCGAAACCGATTGCTTTTTGGCTTATAAACAATTCTTCTGACCTCTAAGTGTGATGTTCCAGCCAGTTTGAAACTTGGTTGCAACAAGGATGGTCCTACAGTGCGCTGGGCGTCTGCGCTCCTGGCTCCAGCATTGCCTATCGCCGTTCTGGTGCTGTCCTTGGGATTGGAGTTCTCACGTCGAGGGCTTGGCATTTCGGTGGCGTTGCAGGCTCGACGCTGCCGCTGAGTAGACCTGGTGTAAGCAAGACAAACGAAGGTGTTGTCGAGTTGTAGGCAAGCAATATGTCCATGCAACATAGTGACATAGTGATGTTGTGAGAACTCCGACTAAGTGCATGATTGTATGATGAAACTCCCCAACTCTCACGGCCTTGGCAGACTGAGAGTGTTCATGTTGGTGCCCAACGCAGACCGCAAGCCACCTGCAGCTGTGTTTTGAAGTGCGCACTCTTTCCGGTGACTTGCCCGAAAGTGCAGACACCTGCAGGTCATCGCCTTGCTCTACATTGGCGGCGCGTCCAGCTCGTCAAACCTTTTGAGTTGCCAGGAGACAGACGGACTGGGTGAATCTTGGCTTCGGAATGATCTAAGTTTGTAGATACTAGTAGCCTTAGCAGCAACATGGGCGCATCTTTGGCCTTTCGAGGAACAGAGTTGTTAGAGTTGTTGGCATTTGCAGGACACAGACACAGATGCAAGCATTCGCGGGTTGCACAAGGCTGTTGAGATGATTTTGAGAACTGTCCTTGCCGCAGAAATCAAGCTTGCATGAAACCATTTCGGAAAGCAAGTTGATAGTGAACTGGATCTGGTTTACAGGGGGGGGGGAACGCGGGAAAAGGCATCAAGCACCGATGCCCTTGAGTCACGTCACTGATCCTGGTACCAGAAAAAAAGTAAAGATGCCGGTGTTGGATCGGGTTTCCAAGCCTCTTGTGGTTGGCTTGGAGAAACAAGCTGCATGCGCTTGCTTCCCTGTGTGAAGTATTCCTCAGCTGCAGCTTGTGCGCCCAGGAACAGTTGCCCAAGAACTTTGCCTTCCGAAGTGCAATTCCTGAAATTCTTTGCGATGAAGAGTCATCCTTCAAAGCCAAAGTTGACAAGGTCGCCTACATCACTGCCTTTGGCTACGCCGTGGTGGTCCCATGTTGCCTCCTGTACCTCTATGCACGACAGCACCTCCTCTTGCGCCGCAGCAGGACAATCACGGTCAACGCAACCCAGGAGGACGATCTGAAAGTGACATTGAGGCCAGTTCTGAAGTCAGGAAAGCCAACCCCAGAGAAGCATGACCAGTGGACGCGTCACACGGTGGCATCGACCGCTGCCTACATCTCCTTGACGTTTCGAGGGCCGCTCTCTTTGAAGATGGAAGAAGGAGAGATGGTGGTGCAGATGCTCGAGGGTTGCAGTTTGACGCACGGAGAAGTGGAGATGAATATTTCGGACGTGGGCACCTTCCTTGATGAGGATGAGGCTCAACAGGCGCGGATTTTGCGATGCAGGGCCATCAGTGAGATGCTGATGGAGAGGTGCACCCTGCACGAAGTGGCCCCATCAGAGAGGATCTTGCTGGGCGCCAAAGACTTGCTGTCAAAGTATGCCTTTGGCAGCTCAGAATACCAGAGAAGTTGGATCTGCCTTATTTCCTCTTGGATTGGTTGAAGGCATCACTTTTCAGGTCAACTTTCCAGTGAGTTTCGGGTGATGTTTGTAGGTTGGAATGTCAGGCCGATTTTCCCGTGAGTTTCCTGTGCGAGAGATTGATGTGATTTAGTCTGAGTCAATCGGATCACCCGTTTGGCTTGGACCCAACACGAGGGACCCAACATGTGTCACATGATGGAGAGATCCATAGGACTCCACAAACCATGGTGACAGACACCCGTCCGTGCGAGGGAAGCAAAGGGACGCCAAAACTGGATTCTGTCGAGTGCTGTGGCAGGGCTCTCTGTTTGTCCCCTTGGATTGGCCACATCACTTCTCAGATCAATTTTCCAGTGAGCTTCGTGCGGGGTGATGTTCAAAGGTTAGAACTCTACGGATCCCACGGGATGGTTAGGTAGAAACGTCTTCCTGGAGATCGTGCAGAAGTTGGTGGCCGTGGCGTTGGTCTCCACCGTCTCCAGCCCTGATGGCTTGCAGCAGGCCCTCGGCATCACTCTCGGCATGGCGGCCATGGTGGCGTTGGTGCAGCCGTATTTGAAGCCGCAGGCAGCTGGTCGAAATGAGGAGCTTCACGCTCTGTTTTCGCCACGTGTTCGGTTGAGTGTTTACTTTGAAGACACCAGGAAGTTGAGTTGGTTGGGCTTGTCGCTGACACTCTCATGCCGTCTGAAACAGGGGTGTTGCTCTGGTCAAGCATCACCTCCTTTCCGGGTATAGGAGGACAACAACCAGCGACTGCTTCAACTCAACAAAATCCAGGGTAGTCGGCGAGCGTTTGTAGCCGCGCCGGATTTTCAAGCTTTTTGAGGTCACAACACGTGAAAATCGGGCGCGGTGTCAGGCAGTACTAGTTCCAGTGGTGTGAGTAGTAGTAGACTATGACAAATATAAGGAACGCTTTATACAGGATGCTTTATAAGGCTCAGGCTAGAAGCAATAGTAGCAATACAGGTCGCCTTGCCCGATGTTCAATCTTTGCAACGTTAAAACGCGAAAATCGGGCGCGGTAGCAATGCTAGTCGGAGTACTAGAAGCGCTAGTGCTAGTAGTATTGGTAGTGCTGCAGCAATACTTCTCCAACGATAAGAAAATCCTAGATGATTCTGGGAACCGACAACTCCGCAGAATCCGGGGTTGGGAGAGTCTTGCTTGCGAGTCCCTTTTTGAAGGATCCTGACACGAACGCTTTAAAACGCGAAGCCTTAAGGCTCAGGCAAGTGCGTTAGTCATAGCTAGCAGCACTTGTGGCCACGACGATCAAAAAGCACATATCAAACCACACGAAAGGAAAACAGAAACAAAACTGCGGGCAACAACCCTTGATTCTGCTGAGTCCAGCAAACAGCTATCGTTGGAGCATTCTTAGCAGTGCTACTACTCACTACTGCCACTACTCATGCTACTAGTGCTAGCATGACTAATGCTACAAGTAGTTCTAGCATTAGCCGCATGGTTTTTAATTTGGCTGGCTAGTCATAGCCGACAACCCTGGATTCTTCTTAGTTGTCCCACGCTTGCAGCTCGGTTTCCATGACGATCTAGAATTTTCCTCTGGCTTTTTTCCGACCAGCGCCACTAGTAGTACTACTAGTACTACGGGTGGCACTAATATTTTAACGCCTCCGGCTCAAGCCGCCGACATTACAGGCCTGCTTTCTTATTTGCGTCCCTTTGGAATTGTCCCCTTGCCCCCCTTCCCCTCTAAGATCTTTCCCCCCTTTCCCTGCTGAGATCTCAGACCCCCCTGAGATCTTCTCCGGTTCCTCCCCTAAGATCTTTTGCCACCTTTCCCTGTTGAGATCCTCTCCTTTTCCTTCCTAAGATCTTTTCCCATCTTTCCCTATTGAGATCCTTTCCCCCCTGTCCCCCCTAAGGCCTTTTCCCACCCTGAGTTCTTCTCCCTTTTCCTCCCAAAGATCTTTCCCCCCCTTTCCCCCCTAAGGCCTTTTCCCTCCTTGAGATCTTTTCCCTTTCCCTGTTGAGACCCTTTCCCCCGTTTCCCCCCTTTCCCCCCTAAGGCCTTTCGCTGAGATCTTCTCCCTATTCCTCCCTAAGATCCTTTGCCCCCTTTCCTTGTTAAAATCCTTTCCCCCCTTCCCCCTAAGGCCTTTCCAGATCTTGTCCCTTTTCCTTCCTAAGATTTTTCCACCCTTTGCCTGTTGAGATCCTTCCCACCCTTTCTCCCCTAAGGCCTTTCCCCCCCTGAGAGCTTCTCCCTTTTCCTTCCTAAGATCTTTCCCCCCCTTTCCCTGTTGGCCTTTTTTCCCCCAGATCTTCTCCCTTTCCTCCCTAAGATCTTTTCCACCTCTTTCCCTGTTGAGATCATTTCTCCCCTTTCCCCCCTAAGGCATTTTTTCCCCAGATCTTCTGCCTTTCCTCCCTACGATCTTTTCCCCCCTTTCCCTGCTGAGATCCTTTCCCCCCTTTCCCCCCCAAGGCCTTTCCCTCCTTGAAATCTTCTCCCTTTTCCTCCCTAAGATCTTTTGCCACCTTTCCCTGTTAAGATCCTCTCCCCCCTTTCCCCCCTAAGGCCTTTTTTTTTCCCCCGCGATCTTCCCCCTTTTCCTTCCTAAGATCTTTTCCCCCCTTTCCTTGTTGAGATCCTTTCCCCCCCTTTCCCCCCTAAGGCCTTTTCCCCCCAAGATCTTCTCCCTTTTCCTCCCTAAGATGTTTTCCGCCCTTTCCCTGTTGAGATCCTTTCCCCCCCTGAGATCTTCTCCCTTTTCCTCCCAAGATCTTTTCCCCCGGTTGAGATCCTTTCCCCCTTTTTTCCAAGATCTTCTCCCTTTTCCTCCTTAGGATCTTTTCTCCCTGTCCCTGTTGAGATCCTTTCCCCCACTTTCCCCCTAAGGCCTTTTCAGATCTTCTCCTTTTCCTCCCTAAGATCCTTTTGCCTGAGATCCTTTCCCCCTTTCCCCCCTAAGGCCATTCCCCCCCTGAGATCTTAAGGCCTGTTCCCCCCCTGAGATCATCTCCCTTTTCCTCCCTAAGATGTTTTCCCCCTGTTGAGATCCTTTCCCCCCTTTCCCCCCTAAGGCCTTTTCCCCCCTGTGATCTTTTTCCTTTTCCTCCCTAAGATCTTTTCCAACCTTTCTTTATTGAGATCCTTTCCCCCCTGTCCCCCCTAAGGCCTTTTCCCACCTTGAGTTCTTCTCCCGTTTCCTCCCTAAGATCTTTTCCCCCCTTTCCCGCTTAAGATCCTTTCCCCCGTTTCCCCCCTAAGGCCTTTTCCCCCCAAGATCTTCACCCTTCTCCCCCCTAAAATCTTTTCCCCCCTTTCCCGTTTGAGATCCTTCCCCCCATTGCCCCCTAGGGCCTTTTCCCCCCGAGCAAGATTTCCCTTTTCCTCCCAAAGATCTTTTTCCCCCTTTCCCCCCTAAGGCATTTTTTCCCCAGATCTTCTCCCTTTCCTCCCTGAGATCTTTCCCCCCCTTTCTCTGTTGAGACCCTTTCCCCCCTTTCCCCCCCAAGGCCTTTCCCTCCCTGAGATCTTCTCCCTTTTCCTCCCTAAGGTCTTTTGCCACCTTTCCCTGTTGAGATCCTCTCCCCCCTTTCTTTGTTTCCCCCCGCGATCTTCTCCCTTTCCTCCCTAAGGTCTTTTGCCACCTTTGCCCTGTTGAGATCCTCTCCCCCCTTTCTTTGTTTCCCCCCGCGATCTTCTCCCTTTCCTCCCTAAGATCTTTCCCCCCCTTTTCTCCCTAAGATCTTTCCCACCTTTGCCCTGTTGAGATCCTTTCCCCCCTTTCCCTCCTAAGGCCTTTCCCCCCCGAGAGCTTCTCCCTTTTGCGATCTTTTCCCCCCTTTTCCTTGTCGGCCTTTTTTCCCCCAGATCTTCTCCCTTTCCTTCCTAAGATCTTCCCCCCCCCTTTCCTCCCTAAGATCTTTCCCACCCTTTCCCTGTTGAGATCATTTCTCCCCTTTCCCCCCTAAGGCATTTTTTCCCCAGATCTTCTGCCTTTCCTCCCTAAGATCTTTCCCCCCCTTTCCCTGTTGAGATCCTCTCCCCCCTTTCCCCCCTGAGGCCTTTTTTTTTCCCCCCCGCGATCTTCCCCCTTTTCCTTCCTAAGATCTTTTCCCCCCTTTCCTTGTTGAGATCCTTGCCCCCCCTTTCCCCCCTGAGGCCTTTGTCCCCCAAGATCTTTCCCTTCCCCCCCCCCCCCCCCCGAGCTTCTCCCCAGTTCCCCCCCTAAAACATGTTTCCCCCCTTCTTCGAAGATCTTCATTTCCCTTCACTTTCTTTCACTTCGGTTCATGTCCCTTTATGTCTGTGTTTGCTCCCTTTCTTTTATTTCACTTCATGTTATTCATTTCTATGCATTTTCCTTCATTTCCAGATGTTCCTTCACCAGCATGGGCAACATCCCCAGCATCACTTGCATCATCCGCATCCTTGGCAGGCGCTGATGCGGATGATGCAGGTGATGCTGGCGATGTTGCCCAGGAGGTGCTCAGGATGCAAAAGCGGACCCGGGGGGAATCGAACACCCCAATGTTTTTGGGCAACTGTGTTCCGCACAGCCCCCAAAAGAAAGGATTTAGTGGAACGTCTTGGAATCACCGCCCTGTGTCTGTTTTTGACCAATGTTGATCGCCCGCAACCATTTGGCTCAAGGCCCTTCTGTACCATAGCAATACTCATGATTGCGTGACAAAGGAACCTTTGCAGGCCGCTTAGAGGATTATACAACATTTCAAGCCAGCAGAAACAATCCATCCCCCAATCACCCATATTGGCATATTTGATAGATCCAGGACCACATAAACGACCTCTACCACCACAGGGTACCAGTTCCCTTCTGGGATAGGTATTGTGGTGGCGGAGCAGGTTTTCCGCAGTCCAAGAAAAAATGTCATCTCATCTCGCTCGTGGACGACTGGGTGACAATCACCATCGGTGGAAGCACCCAAGAGAGGACCACTCCTCAAAAGCAGACTCACAGGAGATGCTTACATGTACAAGGCAGTCCTCCAAAATGACCTTTTGCAAGATCCTGATGAAGGAGTCAACTATTTCAAGAACACGCTGAAGAAGTACTTGTACAGGCTCCTCAGTTTCTTCAATCACAGAAGGCAGAACCAAGAGTTCCTCATTTTCACATCCAAATTCGAAATCCTTCTCAGAAGGCAGCATGGATGGACTTGATGCCCGTCTACACGGCACAGTCCCCATCATTTCGACAGTCCGTACAGGACGCAAACAACAGAACAATTGCTCGGCATCAGCAAGCAGCCGGTACCCGAGCACCGCCTCCAGTCCTGCTAAATGAGATGATCCGACAGTCCTCAGGCCTCAGACAGTATATCACGGGAATGCAGGACAGACAGCGGGACGCATTTCTTTTTGGGGATAATCTCATTGCGCAGTTTTTCATCATTCAGAGTGAACTGTCAGATCAGCAGAGAGAAAGACTGACCAGTGCCCTGTCACTGAGAAACATTTCACTCGAGAACTACGCCTATGAGATGCTGAAGACGCAGACATCCACCCAAGATCCATCCATCCGACCTCAAGGAGGCAACCGAAGCAACACATTCTTCATCCTAAC